AGCTCCCCTGGGTGCTGCTTCGGCCGCGTGCTCTCTCAAGCGCGTCTGTTTCGAGCTCCCTTGGGTGCTGCTGCGGCCGGGGGCTCTCTCAAGCGCGTCTGTTTCGAGCTCCCTTGGTGATCCTTTGGCCGCAGACTCTCTCAAGGGTGTTGTTTCGAGCTCCCTTGGGTGCTGTTTCGGCCGCGGGCTCTCACAAGCGCGTCTGTTTCGAGCTCCCTCTGCGTGCTGCTTCGGCCGCGGGCTCTCTCAAGCGCGTCTGTGTCGAGCTCCCTTGGATGCTCCTTTGGCCGCGGGCTCTCACAAGCGCGTCTGTTTCGAGCTCCCCTGGGTGCTGTTTCGGCCGCGTGCTCTCTCAAGCGCATCTGTTTCGAGCTCCCCTGGGTGCTGCTTCGGCCGCGTGCTCTCTCAAGCGCGTCTGTTTCGAGCTTTTTGGTGCTGCTTCGGCCGCGGGCTCTCTCAAGCGCGTCTGTTTCGAGCTGCCGTAGGTGCTGCTTTGGCCGCGGGCTCTCTAAAGCAGTCTGTTTCGAGCTCTTTTCGGTGCTGCTTTGGCCGCGGGCTCTCTCAAGCGCGTCTTTTTCGATCTTCTTTGGTGCTGCTTCTCTCGCCACCGCACGCGCACTCTCGCTCCCGCAGCGCTCACGCGCGTCGCAGAGCCGACGTCCGCCGACCCCGCGAACAACGGCGCCCCCGCGAACTCTCGGCAAGGCGCAGTTGTGCCTTCTTCCGCGGACTTGCACCAGGAACGCGGAAGCTCGCAGTCGAGGGGGGCTTCCGCGCGGGAGTAGCCGCCGCGCCGCGCCGAGTCCGCGAGCGAGAAAGCCCGTCGGACCCCGCGAGCGGCGCGGCGCCCACTGCCGCGCGAAAACCCAGGGGGCCACGTCCAGTTTCCACGCGGCGGCCCCTGGGGAAGGCTACGCGGGCGACTCTGCACCCGCAAGGGTCGCGGTCGCGCGCGTAACTTTCGCGAAGGACGACTCTCGAATCGCGCTAATGCTGACATATCTGTTTCTGGGACGCACATCACTCACTCAGGCTGACGCCAGCACTCCTTCCCCCCTTGATAGGGGGGAGCGTGGGAGGTAGATCCCTAAACCCTAAAAGCAATGACTCTGGGTGGATGGGGTGGGACAGAACGCATCCATCCATCCCCCCCTACCTCCTGAGGAGGGGGGGATAGGATGGTTCTGCGCAGAAACCCTAAACCCTAAACCCTAAACCCTAAACCCTAAACCCTAAACCCTAAACCCTAAACCCTAAACCCCGAAGGAGGAGCAGACCCGCTGCACTTAAGGGCCCCTTACAAGCAGAACGGGTCGGACCGCGCGGGCGCACCGTAACGGGCAGGTCAAGCCGGGCGGGCGGGCCGGCCCTAATGGGTGGGTGAGGTCGGGTCGGGTCGGATCGGGCGGGTTATAAAATTTAATACATCGTCGACCTGTCACGCGAGTACCCGAACGAGCGGATCGGGTCGGGCCAAGAGGGCGGACCCTAACAATCGAGACGAGTCGGGACGGGCTGACCCTAACATGCGGGTCGATTCGACCCTGCAGGCCTCCCCCCAGGCTGGGGGGAGGCCTCCGGCAAACCTCCCCTGGTCCTCCTGGAGACCTCCCCTGCTCAGGAAAAACCTCCCGGGGGTCTCCGGGAGATTTCCCCTGGTCCTGTGGGAGGTCTGGGGGGAGGCCTCCCCCCAGCCTGGGGGGAGGCCTCCCGGAGGCCTCCCCTGGTCCTCCACCAGGTCTGGGGGGAGGCCTCTCACAAGCCTCCAGGAGGACCAGGGGAGGCCTCCCGGAGGCCTCCCCCCAGGCTGGGGGAAGACCTCCCAGAGGTCTCCCCCAGACCTCCTGGAGGCCTCCCTGGGGAGGTCTCCCAGGTCGCGAGGACACCTCCCTGGGGAGGCCCCCCCCGAGGCTGGGGGGAGGCCTCCAGGAGGCCTCCCCTGGGCCTCCCCCAGACCTCTGGGAGGCCTGCCTCTGGAGGCCTCCCCCAGGCCTGGGGGGGGCCTGGGGGAGGCCTCCCCCCAGCCTGGGGGGAGGCCTCCCCCCAGGCCTGGTGGAGGACCACGGGAGGTCTGGTACCAGACCTCCCCCAAGCTGGGGGGGGGGCTCCGGAAGGCCTCCCCCCAGGCTGGGGGGAGGTCTGGGAGAGGTCTCTAGGAGACCTCCTATGCGGGGACCCTTATGCATCATCATTATCAGCATCATCATCATCGTCCTCCTCATCATCATCAGCATAATCATCATCGTCCTCATCATCATCATCATCATCATCATCATCATCATCATCATCATCATCATCATCATCATCATCATCATCATCATCATCATCATCATCATCGTCCTGATCATCATCATCATCATCACCACCATCACCACCACCATCATCATCATCATCATCATCACCACCACCACTTCCACCACCATCATCATCATCATCATCATCATCATCATCAACAGCATCAGCAGCAGCAGCATCAGCATCATCATCATAATCATTATCATGGACATCATCCTCATCATCATCATCACCACCATCATCATCCTCATCCTCATCATCCTCATCATCATCACCATCATCAGCATCATCATCCTCATCATCAGCAGCAGCATCATCATCGACA